GACAACGGCGATCCGTATACGACACTTGTTGATTCCACACTGTCAAGAAGACCACTGCACCCGTATGCGAGCAAACACGTCGTCACTTACACACATGGACCTTTAGCTTTCTTTCTCTTTTTCTCTCGTGCTCCCGTTCTCTATCTCCCTCACACTCTCTTTTTCTATCTCTTTCTCTTGTTTACCTTGTTCTCACCGACGATAGCGTTTCTTTTATGCTTTCAAAATCTTTAACGCGATTATAACGTATACGTGAAACCACAGTATTGTTGGTTATTCGCGCCTAATGCGAATATCGAAGAAACAGCGAGAGAAACAGAGAAAACAGTATTCGGTGACGATAAGATGAAAAAGACACGGATAAACGATAGCTGATTCGCGAACCGAAAATGTAAAAGGAAAAGAAAAACTGCCAAACGTTCTTACTTTCATACGAGCGTCAATAGATCGCCGAACGAACTACACACCGGCTGAGTCTCAAGCAAACTGGCAACCTCGGAGTTCGGGACAAGTAAGGCCCAACTTCCCCCACCTGTACCCGCCCTCTAGCGATGTACACTTTCATTCTATCTCGCTTTTTCTTATAAATTGCCTCGTTCTTTCCTTTATTCTCGGATGAGTTCTCCCTTTCCCTAACATATCGTAGGACTTTATTGATGTTCACGGAAAACAACGAAAGGAATGTTAAAATTTGAGCCCAGCTAGTTACGAATCAAAATTATTCGATAATCGACTAAGTCAAAATTACGAATGTAAAAATTAATTCCTTAATTTGACACTATACTGATTAAGTCTATAAATTTTACAGTCGCATGATATTTATATAATTTATAGGAAATTTATGGAAAGCGACAAATGGTTTATCAAAGGAACTTGCGCATTAGATACAAATAAAATATCTCGAAGGATTAGACATAGATTGAAACAGATATAGAAAAACTACTATCTACGAGCAGTGAAACAGGCCCTCGGGCTCTTCCTTGTGGACCGTAAGGCCCAATGTATCACAGGTAAACAGGATCTCAGAAATCGAAAGAAGTAGTCTGTCTCGAATGAAACAGGTAGAAAGAGGTGGATCGTACAGCTCCATAATACGAATTTTAAATTCTATCGATTGTCATACCGAGATCGATATTTCCCACGAGATCAAGAATAGTCTAATAAGAGCCGAGTTTTATATAATTTAAATATTTTAATAATAATTTTAATATTGAATATCCAATTTATATATATATCAACATAAGTTCAAATGTATACTCGATAATTCGTCGTTTGAAAAATCGTATTGAATGAAAACGAAACAAGATTAATGCAATTCTGAGAAATGCGTCTATATCTTTGCATTAGAGACCTCCCACAGCGTCACGTCTCCAATTCTTCAACTAATCCAATCAATTCCAGCCATAGGTATATTATTGTTTAACGAATTGATATTCGTCCGACTATATCCGTCGTGATTGTTTTAACAATTGTAAAAACAAACCAATTACGCAATTTTTTCGTTTGACATACTTACAAATATCATCATCCATACTTGTTTCCGGTTATATATGCATTTAAAATCACTAAACTCCGCGAATATTTCGTTGAATAGAATGCAATTTATCACATGCTCACAATAGCTGAATACTTTGTACATTACACATTGTAGCACATTAAACGAATCACACTTTCTTTTGTAATATTGAACACTGTACACGCTGTCCTATTATTTATAACATCGAAATAATCAACTATTCCGTACTGATTACACAGTAAGATTCACTTTTTTATGCAATATCTTTCACAAATATTAGACAACATTAAACACTCGACATTTATGATCGGACTTGTCAATGACTGCCAAAATATCACTTTATTATAGTTTTATTAAACATATTTTCAATTTTATTGAAAGTTTCATATTCGATTAACGATGAACACAGATTTTAAATAATTTTTCAAAAACAGATTTTCCATGCGTACACATAATTAAATCTGGTTAGATGAGATTTTAGTGGATAGTACGGTACCATGAAGTGATCACACATGGATTTAGTTAACAAAGAACCTCATTCGATGCAGTCTGTCGCGATACTGTAAGCCACTGTAAGGTGTTGAGAAGCTTGCTTCGTAGGCGATCTTCTTTCTGGAAGTCAGCGCCGACGCATCAAATATTAAATTTGTTCGATCATCGAAAACTATTCCGGTGTCGTTAATTTGTCACTTTCAGTGTCAATGAAAGTGACACCAAAAATTCACTATAAACTGTCCATTGATAAACGTCCATGACTATGTTCGACTTAGAAAAACTATAAAACCACTATAGAACTCCATTTTAAGAATAAGTTTCAGAATATTTTAAATTTCCAAATACGAGAAAAATATTTTGAAAAATATAAACGACGTTCAATTAAAATATTCCGTGTCAAGGTTTATATACATCTGTTGCTGTTCCTACGCGAAATGTACTTACCAGAAATGTAGCATGTGTTCCAAAAATATCGTCACGTTCATATTATAAGCAGGAAAAATGTAGGGAATTATATTTATCAATATTGGAAGTAGTACACAAAAGTAATATATGTATTAATTGCTAGAATAAAATTGATAATAAATGTATCTTGAGCAACATACATACGATTAGAAGAAAATCGAATAAACGAATAAAACGTTTGAGTGGTTTGAAAAATTATTAGGAAATATGTAGAGATTTAAAAGTACTATTGAAGAAATTTTCGAAGATAATATTATTAAAATTTCACAAAGTGATAAAGCACATCATCGACGATATTCAGCTACTTTACATGTCCTTTAATCATTAGAAAAGATTTGATATAATTGCGCACGAAGATTTATAGTATAGGTAGTAAAGATCATTGTTGTCTATGAAATCAAAGATATCCTATATATTTATACTTTTTTTCCACTTATAATATAATATAATAAAAAGATTAATCTGATTTATATTCAAAAAAACTTCTCATATTTAATCATAGTCTAAGATTCATAAGACATGGAAATGACAGTATGACAACAACAACTTTTTTTGTATATTTTCTTATGTATTATTTTCTCTCTTCTGTATATTCCCATTTTTTACATCACGGAACAAAGTAAAACGTGGTGTGAAACGTGATCGCGTTGATCACTTCTATTTATAATTACATAAGTGACACAGAGTGCTAGTAACGAATGCGTTTTCCTAATAAATGAATAAAATGAGTAGTGTGTTACACTGATACTATTAAAGTTAATAAGTAAAGTGACAGACTATATTATTTTATTATATATAGTACCAATTTATACTATTTCTCAGTCAGAATAAAAAATGTTCTCTTTCACTATAATTATAAAACAATTCTTTTAAACACATATTTCGAGTAATTTTTAAATTACCTTTAATACTGGAAATTTGCTCCTCGACGCTCTCGCCTTGCCATGAATCTCCCTCAACTTGGATAATCCAACGAATTTTTCTTGGTTGCATCTGAAAAAATTGTATGATTTCTATTTATAAAAAGGAAAACTCTGTTCACAGCCAAACATTATTCGTATAACATCGAACTGCACCAGATCAGTAGTTCACGCTAGTTTTAAAGTCGATATATCGGTATCGGTATATGATTATTTTTTACGGATAGAGTGTTTACAGATAATGCGACTTGAATGGGTTTCCTCAAACATAATATTAACCTTAACTAAATATGCTTTTATGTAACATATCTTTTCAATGTATATATTGATTTTTTCAAATTATGTTGATACATTTTCTAAAAATTGATTCTTTTAATTTATTACTGCCTAAAAAAAATACAAATTATTAAATATGTTATTATTATATTATTAAATATATAATATAAAATAAATAACAAAATTTATTTTATAAGAATTACATTATTATACATAAAAATATACATAAAAACTTGAAAGAGAGAAATGTTATTAATCTTCACAGTTCGTAACAAACCGATATAGTTATCATTAATAGTAAAATTAATATGATATGCGCTTGCTCGTGATTAGATGTCAACGATTAGATACGTAGCAATCGTGAATGGTATTGAAATACAAATTAATGTTCCACATGAATAAATCTGTGAACACGCAAACAATGTATAAGTTACCTTAAATATCGTCGAAGAACATAAAAAAAATATTTATTAACACGATATTCATCGGACGACGTCTGAATACGCTGTTGCAGGCAATACTCGTTTCACACTGACAATGATTTGTCTGTCAACGGAAGTGACACTCTGTATTGTGACTATCTGGCGGTTCGTTGCATCGACCATGCGTGCTTGAATGTCGACTTTGCTAAGAAGAATTGTCAGAACTTCTACACCCACGGGTCTGTTAGTTATATGTGTGGACGATCAGAACTTTCGTCCACGAGATATTCTGACACAAGCACGAATCACTCTTAAATTCTCCTCTGTTATTAAGTGAAGCACACCATTCACTACCAATCCCTCTAACATGCATAATCTACCGGCATTATGAATACAATTTAAAATTGATCGAAGATAATATTGAGCAATGCTTCTTTTATTATTTAACTTAACAAAATTTTATATCAATATTTTTCGTATCTCTAAATAAAAGGAAAGAAATATAATTATCATTTATGACAATCTGAAATAATTATTAACATTTAACTGCCTTATTATGTAAAAGAATATTATCTCGACGATTTATAAAACATGGCCATTTAATCATTAAAGTTTACAAATATTAAATGCGCAAAGTATATGTTTAGATTTAGAATCAAGCTTTTTATATTTAAAAAAATATGATATTTTTTATGTAATTTTATAAATCAAAATGTTTTAACTTGATTCTGCTTTTCAATTAAAAATTTTGAAATTTAAAGTTAGATAGATCGATCTGCGTGGTCGATCAAGTTATTCTGAAACGACGCATGCGTCGAAAATGGCCGCAATAAACGAGTAAGCACGAGCTGGAAGTAAAGGTTGGCGATAAACGCAACACGAAATCTTAGTGAACTCAAAGAAAAAATAAAAATTAGAACGTAAAAATGTATTTGATGTACTATCTAAATGAGAATGGAGATCGAGTGTATACGTTGAAGGTAATAAATGTAATGTATTTTGTTGTAGATTACATTACGTTTGTTTATTGTTTGTACAAAAAATTCATTATTTTTCTGTGTTAAGTCTATTTTGTGTTTACATAGTCTAGTTTCTTACACAGACATATGGAAGCATTAATTTCTTACTCTGTAATATATTTTGTATTTATATATTTCGTATTTATATTGTATTTATATATTTATAACCTTATCTTTTTCGTTTTATAGAAAATGGATCCAAATGGAAAACCGACGCTATCGGCTCATCCAGGTATATAATAGATCTTATTTTGTTTCTGTATAAAGTGTTGCAGCTAATTAATAAAAAGAATTATTTCAGCTCGATTTTCTCCTGAAGATAAATATTCAAGAGAAAGAATAACATTAAAACGAAGATTTGGCTTATTACTCACACAACAACCACTACCAACATATTAATATTTCTATGTTTATAATTATATATAATGTATATTACACATATATATATTATATATAATTATATATGTGTAATAATGGCATTGAATATAATAGCACAAAATTTATTAAATGCCTAAAATATTTATGCGATATTTCTTACTGTTTAAATACGGAACTGAACTTTCAACGCCTACAACTTCCCCTCTTGGTAATCTAAACGTCTGCTATCCCATTTGTGTTGAAGCATTCACAGCATTTATAATTATACTTGGATCCAAATTATGTATGAAATGCGATTAATATCTTATATATAATGGATTAATTATTCATTTTGTTTAATAAAATTTTTTATTCAGAATTTAGTTCATCTTAACATGTACATATAAAAAATAAAAGTTTTATTGTAATCTATTGTACAGTGTCTAATTATTTTGAGTAGAATACAATTTTATCAAATAATGTATCAACGAGATTACATAGAACTGACTTTAATATTTTAATCTTAATACTATGTCAAAAATATTGTAGAATTTTATGAAATAACCCTTTGTATTATAGAAAAAATTAAAACCTGAATTGCATATAATAAAACTTGTAGACTCAAAACTAGTACTAACACTCCATGACACTTGCAATTTTCGCTACGTACATTGTACTAAACTTAAAATGCAGAACAACAATGTGTATACTATTTAACATATCCAAATATATTTGTATACACATATTCAAATATATATATGCATATCTTTTATTCGTTTTTTGTCATTTCAAAATGACATTTAACATTTTGCATTAAAAATAATTTCTTTTAATTGTTTAGATAGCAAATACATTGAGAAATATGTCTAGTAATTCATTCATAATATTTCATTACCTATCTATTAATTAATAAATAATGTGGAAATAAAGACTTATTCATTATATTTTTCTAAAATACATTTTATATTATACTGAAAAATATTATTTTATCTCACAAATGTCAAATTTTGACATTTTCTAAATATCATATTGAGTATTATAATAATTATCTTATTTACAGCATTAATGATCTTATTAAATCAAAAGATGATATCCTAATTAAGATGGCAATATAATTATACCTTTTGCAATATTCATATTTTGAATAATGAAGCTAAAAAGTAAATGTAATATAAATAATATATATATATATTATTAATTATAAGATATATTATTATAAGATATATATATATATATCTTGTTCTTTGTATATACTTACATATACTTACATTTTTCACAAATATTTATTACAGAACACATCTTTACCCTTAAGATGTTACTTATTTCCTGTGATATTTTTATATTGTTTATATTATGCAAACTGTATAATTTCAAGTGCTTATTCAATGTTACGAGTATATTCTTGATAAACTTTTGTACAAATTCTACAGAATTATATTTAACAAAAGAACTGAATATTCAATCACTCTAGAACTAATATAACACAATTTGTAAGAGCTCCAAAATCGAATGAAATTATCACGAATGGTTTATTGTAAATCTAGTATATAGAACATATGTAAAAAATTAAATATTTAGAAAATAGGAAACAGTTTAAGGTATATAACTATACTATTATAGGTACATGATGGAAAAATTGTAAGTATGTTACATTAAAATAGAAGTAACAAACTTTTACAACTTATTTCTCTTGAATTAAATTGAACAGAAAAATGTGTTGATTGAATTTTACACGTGGACTATACAACAATATCAAAAAATGAACATTGTTCAATAAGTTCACTAGAATATAAATCACATTACTGCACAAAAGAAAACATTATATTGTAGCAGTATTTTTCAACTATGAAACTTCTGAGTTTTACCTACTGCTTAAATATTGTCATATTATTTCTTTGCTTTTATAATGGCAAAACTTAAACTTGTAATTGCTTATTATCAATAAAAATAAACAATAATGCAAATTGAAATTTGTTTTTTGAACAAATATCGTATAAACATGTAACTTCGAACAATATATATAAATTTTATTTGTCCAAAATTCAAATCTCAATCTAAAAATATAAAAATATAAACAAATTAATATAGTGATGATTGATAAATTAATAATAGTAATATTATATATATATAATATAAATATATATTATAATATATATATATATATTATATATATATATATATTATGTACTCTGTATCATAGAAATATACCAAATAACGTAGAGATTGCCTTGATCAATGTGCATACAATTTGCATTTTATAATGCCATAGGTGTATTATACATTTTTAATATCAATATCTGCATTCAATTTGCTTCTGATGGTGCTGCTGGTAGAACATGAACTTGTTGTGCTTTACTAGCATTGTAAACTTGGCCTGGACTAAATGGTTCTAGTCTTGAACTAGAAGCTATTTCGCTTTTGCGAATCATATCTTTAAAAAGTTAATAAGTGTTAATAATATGAAGTTGTGAAAATGTAAAACGAATTATGCAAATGTATCTTTAATATTTTAAGATTTTTTAGTATTGGGATACCTACCACTTTTGGATTCTGGTGCTGGAATATATCGAGACAATCTAACAACGGGTAGGGGTAAATAACCACTAGTTAATGGCATCACGTCCAATGTGACGCTTTGTTTCTCTAACACTTCCAAAGACACAATACCAGCAGTACGACCACATACAGCCCACATGGCTTGATCAGCAAGAACTTCATACATTAATTGTGGTGAAGGATTTGGATTTGGACTAGGTAACATACGTGTTACTGTGAGATAAAGATGGCACATGCTACCAGCACGACAAAATTCACCTCCATTTCCAGCTGCTTCAACTTTTGAAGACACTGTAAATAAAGTCTGGAAAATGATATTATAAATAGAAACTCACCTCTTTGAAATATTTTAAAAATAAATTTTATAGTTTACATTTCATTATTATAAAATTATTACATAAGTACAACTCATACTTATTAAGAAAAAAGAGCCAAAGAAATAATTATATTCTTACCACATAATCTGTAATATCAAAATTGCATCTATAAAGACTGCATGCTTTTTCCATTCTTTGTAAATTATGAATTTGCAGAGGATCCTCATTGCTGTTTAAATCGTTCAAATCTTCAGTATCATTAATTGGTATATATTTTACACGAAAATCAGTCTTTATTGGCATCAAAGACTTTTCATCTTTACCAATTTCAAGTTCCCACATAAATGATACATTTATTCCATTACCTATTACTAATCTCTGACCAGCAATAGGATTTAAGCTTTTAAAGTTAACATCTATTGATGTTGCTGTTGTTAATTCTGGCTCAATTAGTTGTAGAAGTTGATTTGTTAATCCTGTTACAATTATTTGAAGAAATTTCCTTTCTTTTGCAGTATGGAGTTTCATATTTGACATGAGTGGTGGACCAAAATGTAAAGGTATGCTTTCCTCCAAACCCCATGGACATTGGATATTCAGCTATAAAAATTTACAATATTAATTTTTTTTAAATTACATATTTCTTTTTTTATACATATTATTTTGATTTTTAAAATATATGAAAACATACTTTATGTTCCATTGATAAAGAATCTTTCTTTGGTGGTAATTCTGCTAGAACTTTAAACTTTAACCATATTGTTTGAAATGGTTCACAAAATGGCAGTGATATTTCTAGTTCTTTAGACATTGTTTCTTGTGAACCATCGACTTGTATTATCAATCCCCTAGACGTACGTAATTTAAGTTTCATTTCATTTGTTATTTTTATACTTCCGCTCATAATAACTAATTCTATGCCTTGAATAAGGCCTGCCAATAAGTCTCTACTATATTTCATAGAAATTGTAGGCTGAGTCTTAGCTACTTCATAACATAACCGAGGATTTAAAATAGGTGATAAAAATTCCAATTTTTCCTCAATCACTAATGATATTTGACCAACTTTATAAAAACCAGGCTGATCTATACGCCTAGTTAATGTAACCATGTTCATACCTGGTTTCACAATAAAATCATTACATGATAGCGCTTTACTAAAATCACCTTTTGCATTTACTGATGGTTTCCTATGTTTTGTACTATCAGAACGTCTTACAATAGGCTTAGTGTTTCTGTGTAAGACACTAGCTGATCCGAGGCTTTTATCTTCTTTATAATCTAAATATGAATATACTTGTAATTGAAGCAAACTTGGATCAAATGGTCTCATATCTTCTAGAGTACATTTCGATAATAATGGAATTGATGGTTCAGGTGGTAACTTCGAACCCTTTTTTTTATTAGGTAATAGAGGTTTTTGAACTTCTTCAACAGATATAGACGCTTTAGTACATTTTACTTCTCTAGGAAACAAACTTTGTATATATATTTCGATATTGACCACGCAGTCTTGCACTACTTTATCCATCACTTTAACTTCCATACTGAGTACTACAAAAGCACATCCGAGTTCTACAAGTAAGGGTTGTGGTGATGAGATCATTTTCATATACCCGAACATTTCTTCAAAATAAGTATTACGAACAGTAATATGTAATACATCCAAACTGGCAATAGCAGCACATATTTTTGTATATTTTTCAACATCATCCATTCTTTTGTAGCACTGTGCCAATTCGAGTTGAGTTTGTGCTGCTAAGTGCCTCCAGCCTTCATCAGTGTACGTTTTTAAGGCATCCGATAAAAATGCAACAGCTTTTTGATTCTCGCCAAGCTCGCTATAAAATTGTGCTAACTCTTTTCCGATTAATCTGGCTGATCGAATCCGGCCTACATGTTTATAAGTACCCATAGCTAATTCTGCATGTTCAAGATATTGCTTCTTGAATGCCTCTTTAGACGAAAGTGCTTCTTTTAATTTATCGGTAGGTGTTAATTTCCCTTCTATCTGTGGTTCAGAATCTCCCATACCAGCTATTAGGTAAACAACTGTATGTAGTTGTTCACTAGATGGCTCACTTCCAGGCATTAAACCACATAATTTTCCTAAATTTCCCAACTAAAATAAATTAGAATAAAGATTTAACTATCTTAATACTATAAATAATATTATTACATAATTTCTATTAATATGTCTAGTAACTTACTTTATCCCTAGCAAGAGCCCATAAACTCGCAGTATGTAAGGAACAAAGGTCCAGTTGCTGATTGTTATCAATATTATATGATGATAATTGACAAGCTTGAAGCACTTCTAACGCACAAAGAAAAGACCAACATTCAATGGATCCTTCAGGTCGCTGAACTTCTAATATACGTAATTCACTTAATGTATTATGAACAAATGATAAGCACCTTTGCGCAACCTAAATTAAAATATCGTTGTATGTTTATATTCATAATGGAATTAAATCTATG